ACTTCTCTCATACTTGAGAGTCAAAAGTCATGACTGTGGTAGAAAGCAATTGCATACGACAACTCTCGCAATATATCTTAATCTATCATGGACTCGGTTCAAGTCTTAACTAATTAAATGTCCATCCATAATTACCGACTTTAAACCATTTATGATTACTAATTTATAACATAGTATTAATTGCCATTACATACATATATAAATATATCTTATAATCAAGTGGACACAATCAATTCCATAATGAATCGAAAAATAATACATTCCATTCACCAATTGTATAATGCTTTAATAATAATATTCAGATAAGGAACCATAACTTTTACAATCCAAAATAAGAATTTGCTATGCTAGGGCACACATATCCCAACAGGAGCTTCATTATATAAAATAAAATTATCTAAATACTCTCTTTCTTTGTTCTCATAAATTCATAGCCATAGTTTGCCTTCTTACTTCTCTTTTTTGTTAATTGGGTGGAAGATTAATGAGATAATTTGTTGTAGCAACATACATTATGTTATGCAAACTTAGTGTTTGATACGAAGTCATATATATGGTTTGGCTTATGTTATGTAATATATAATATATGACATCCCTAATCCAATCAGTGTTTTAAACACAGGATAGGAAAATTAATTTCATATCCCTTTGATATTAATTTGACATAGTTTCATTTTAGTACTTTTGGGGAATGAGATATTGGGTCAGGGAAGCTATGTGGTCATTAAAATGTGGGTGGATTTTAGGTTTTTGTTGAAGTTAAAAGCTTTCTGTCCTTTCAATTTTGGGTGTATTTTGTAGTTAAAATCTACTGATGCAAGAGAACTCATTGGCTACTGGGCGTGTAGAGAACTCTGCAGATTCCTTAGGTATAGATCTCATTTTGATGTTGCTTCAGTTTTTGCTTATTTGTTAATTTCTCTTTGCTGTTACTCATTTGTTCATGGCTCATTCTGTAGCTTTTAATGTTTGAGCTTTTTCCTATACGGCTTTGTTTGCATATGACAGGTCAGGGTTTATTACTGTTAGAGAACTGATGGAACACTAATCTTATGCATTTGTAGGAACATCCTGAAGTTGCACCGTACCGGAGGAAAATCTCATTGGAAAACTGGGATGACGTGTACTCTCTATACACAAGACCATGCAATTGAAGAGGGAGTAGCTCAAACCGCTTTGGTAGCCGACATGCAAATGGCTAATAAAGAGTCCATTTATTTGGAGGAATCATCTAGAAATGATGGGTTGAATGATGATGCTAGTAATGTTGTTGAAGGCCGAATTGGAAGATCTTCATCCTCTTTAGGTTCATATACGGTTTTGGAACGTATTACCGACTCTCTTGAAAAAGTTTTCTCTAAACCTCCAAAGCTGAGTACCAAGATGGTGTTAGATGGAGTGTTCTTAAAGTTTCAAATTTGAACCACACACAACTCTTGGCAGTAGAATTATTGAGGCGTGATCCGCTCAAATTTAAAACATTTGTCGATCTTCTTGCACTCCTTCCTTTGGCAATCTGTGGTGGTACACTGGTACTTGGTTGATTTTGTTGCCTCGTTTTAAGGAGCCACGGAACTCATTTAAATTGAATTTTTTTTACGAAACAAACTCACACACCCATGTTGCTTATATAAAAACTTGAACCATCAAGCTTCTATATTGAATTACAGTAAGAAAGAAAAAGATAAAAACAGAAAAATGGCAAACTATTGCAAAGGTATAAATACTGATACATATCAAGGTTGGTTAGTTTTATATACGTGTGCATCTCTATATAAGTGTATATTCTTGTATATCATTGTATATGTTTGTGTTAGGAGCTCAATGTTATACATTTTAGCCCTTTAACTTGCATGTTTTATTCACTTTGTAGTAGTTTATTTGCAACTTTACATTATTTTATTGTTTTTATTTATTTCAAGGCTTTAATTGTAAAATCAGTCAAGACCAGTAATTTTGAGCTTTAAAAGATGATAGCTCTTTGAAAATATATCTGATAATTCTACACAACATGTCTTACCTCCAGTAGCAAGACCTTATACCATATTTAAGAGAGCAGAAAGTGTGAGTGAAGCAGGAATAAATCAAGGGCTAGTGAGCCAAATTGAGGCATTAACCAAGAAAGTGGATCAATTGATGACTTCACAGTTAAATTTTACTCCTCCTACAACTAATGCTCAAGGCTCTGAAGTGTGCTCTTTCTATTCTAGTCCAACTCACCATGTGTCCATTTGTCCTAGTGTAGCTCAATATTCATAAATTCCACAAGAGCAAGTTAATGTTATCTATGAAAGGCCTGGAGGGAATAATATGTATTCAAACACTTACAATCCGGCTTGGAGAAACCATCCAAACTTCTCATGGAGAAATCCAGCCACAAGGACATCAGCTCCTCCACCTCAAGTGCCTCAGATGCAAGGCAATTTTCAATCTCTAGTTCAGACTTCAAATCCTCCTAGATTCACTCCTATGAATGTCTTTAGTCAACCTCAACAATTCTTATCAATGCTCGAGGCAATGATAGCAAAGCAGTTAGAGCCAACTAATCAACTTGTGCAGTCTCATTCTCAATCCCTTACCAAGTTAGAGACTCAAGTTGGCCAACTAGCTCAAGCCTTGAACAGAAGAGAGGATGGAAAGCTTCCTAGTCAACCAATTGCTAATCCAAGAGGTGTGCATATAATTGATGACATTACTAGCCAAGAAGTCCACTATGAACAAGTGCAAGAAATTACTACTCTGAGAAGTGGTAAAAGAGTTGAAAACAAGGTAGAAGAAGAGGAAGCAAAGAAGGATGAAAATTGGAAGAAAAGACTTGAAAAGAAAAATGAGCGTAATGAAAAAGCACAAGAAGTACCTCCAACTACTGAGACATCTCTTGAGCAGAGGCATGAAGTTATGCCATTCCCTCAGAGACTATAAGAAACATCAAAAGCAACAAAGCAAGGAAGCAAACTTCATGACATAATGGAGATGTTTAAACAAGTGAAAATTAATCTCTCATTGCTTGATGCAATTCAACAAATTCCAGCTTATGCCAAATTTTTAAAAGATATGTGTACTCAGAAGAGGCATTCAAATAGCCATATTCCTAAGAAGGTGTTATTAACTGAGCAAGCCAATTCCATAATCCAGCACTGCACTGCTCCAAAATTCAAAGATCTAGGTGCTCCAACAATTTCAAGCACAATAGGGAGTCATCAAGTAAAGCGAGCTCTCCTAGATTTAGGTGCAAGTGTAAACCTTCTTCCTTATTCGGTTTACTTGCAACTCGAAGGAGAATTGAAACCTACCTCAATTATTCTTCAATTAGCAGATAGGTCAACCAAACAGCCTCGTGGTGTCATCGAAGATATGATCATCAAAGTAGATAAATTCTACTTTCCAGTAGACTTTATTGTGCTAGATACCAAGCCAGTTCCAGAGTCAATGAGGCACATTGGTCGTCCTTTCCTTGCGACAACAAATGCAAGCATAAATTATAGGAAAGCGTCATGGACTTATCTTTTGGCAATATGAAGGTGCGCTTAAATATTTTCAATGCCAGTCAATGCCCTTCAGGCGATAAGGATTGTTTTCTTGTCGATACCATCGATGAATGTGTTGAAGAGATGGCCCCATTTGCCTTGACAAAAGATCCACTGGAAGCATGCATATCTTACCTTGATGTTGAGTCATTTGATGTTGAGAAAATTCAAGAAGTAAATGTCCTGCTTGATATGGCCAATATGCATAACATTCCACCATGAAAAATTCCTATTGAGCCACTTCTACCATTGTCAAGTGAACCACCTATGCCATCTTTGAAGTCTCCACCAGAGTTAGAGCTGAAGTCGTTCGCCTCTCATTTGAAGTATACATATCTTGGCCAAAAAACACTCTTCCATTGCATAATTCATTCCCAGATAAGCAACTATTTCAACTTCAGAAGGAGATTTCACCATGGTATGCTGATATTATGAATTGGAAGGCATTAAGAAAGAAGACTGTTCGGTCGGATCGGAAGGATTGGTACATTGAGGATTTCGTGCCTACAGAAGGAGTTGAGTCCGTCACTTTGACGGATGCCATCTACGCCACCTAAACATCCAGGTATCCCATCGCCTACCGACGTTAAATGTAGGAATTGTAGATAGGATTTTTCATTTATGTATTTTTTGTTCTCTCTTTTTCTCTTTAAGTTCATCTTTTGTTTTAGTCGATTAGGAGGATTTAATTTGTTTCGTAGGATTTTTAGTTACTTGTGCAGGATACAAGTAGTGCAATAATGATTGCGTCGTGCTTGTTTGGAGGAAAATAAAAAAAATATAAAATATAAAATATAAAAAAATTCATGGCATACAAAGAACAAAAGTTGATTGGAGCAGAATACAGCATTTTTTAGGTCCAAACATCGACCAAACAACCTACGGCGTTTGTATCGCGTAGATCTTGAAAAAATACCCAAAATAAAAAAATAAAAAATAAGAAAAATAAAAAATAAAAAATCATTCAAAACGGACCACCAATGCCAAAGTTATGGCCGTTTGAAGTTTGCATTCTAAAAAAAAAAATGGAAAGATGGATCAGCCCAGCCGCAAATCGGGTGAATAAACGCCCGACCCATGGGGCGACCATCGCCCGACCAAGAGTTTTCATCAACATAAGCTGCAGCTGTCGGGCGACAGTCACCCGTCTCGACGGGGACCTTCACTCACATGGCGATGCGGCAGCACAGGGACCAACGCCGGGCGGTCATTCGCCCGACTGCCCGGCGACCATCACCCGACCATTTATTTTCCGACACTGCAGCAGCTTCAACAAATTTTTTTCTGGCCAGTTTCTTTAGCTCTGGGCGATCAATCGCCTGGCCATTTAATTCCTGTAGGTGACACACCAACAGTTCCGGCTTCACGGCAACCGTCGCCTGGTAATTTTTCCGGTGACAACCAACCTCACTCACGACGCTTCCCATAGCAGAGTCGGCTAATCTCTTTTCCGGCAACAGACCATGTGGCACAATGGCGTTTCAGCTCTTTGCTTACTTGGTGGGTGAGCTGACCCAACCCCGAGCTGAATTTCAAGAAATCCATCTGAATCAAGGATTAATGATGGAGATGCTGCGTGCACTTATGATTCCTAACAAGCTTCATCCCGATGCTCCGCTGCCTCAATTCCAGATATCCTGCCAGGTGCTTTCGTTCTTTATTTATTTTATTATTTTTCTTGCTTTTGATTTTTGCCTAATGAGGACACTGTCCAATTCAAGTTTGGGGGCACAGAGTCTACTCTAGTTGTTAAAAAAAAAAAAAATTAATTCATTTTTCTTTGGCATATTGACTTTAATTCTAGTATTTGAAACTTGTTGGGGGGATTAAGACACTTAAGCACTTATTAAAATTCTTTTCTGAGATCATCTTGAATCCCTAATGTTCATGCTTTATTTTATGTGGGTTCCATTATCTAGTATGATAGAAATTTTAGTAATTGTCGGTCCTTGATGGATTTCACATGCACACTAGAATTTTATCTATGAGTATTTATATTGTTGGTTGAATTCTGATGACTATGGATGGATATGAATTGGTGAACTTTGAAGGTTATTACTATGGCAGAGTTATATATATATATATATATATTTCGTAACCCTTTCATAGAGTAAGCAGAGCTCATGTCTCATATGCATAGAGTGTTCGCATGAAGAAGTGGGGGTAAGGAAAAAAAAAAAAAAAAAAAAAAAAAAAAAAAAAGAGAAAAAATAAATAATATTTTGCCATTGAAAATAATTTGAGAAGGGATCTGAGGAATTGAAGTTATAGAAGTTGGGTTCAACCGAAAAAACATTACTACATAGATGATTCGCTAGTTCACAAAGTTCACAACATTAGGGATTGATTTTGCGATTGTTCTTGTTATATAAGTGTTTGGGAAACATTGGAATGAAGTATGAAAATGGGGACAAATGAGTATAGTCAGATGATAATTTTTAAAGTACTTTTGTGTAGTCTTCCCCTTGATTATTGTGATGATATAAGAATAAGTTGATTGCCAGATGATTGAATTGTATTGTATGTTTGTAGGTATCATCTCTGGAAACCCTCACGAGACTTCACTCGTCCATTAGGGGTAACCTATGGGTTTAAAAGGCTTGTTGCATATGCTAAATGCAATCGTGATTCCCACGGAAGCGGCATTTATGTTTTCTTTAGTTTTATTGCTATAGGACTAGCAATATGTAAGTTTGGGGGTGTGTTAGGCGCTGAATGTTATACATTTTAGCCCCTTAACTTGCATGTTTTATTCACTTTGTACTAGTTTATTTGCGATTTTACATTGTTTTATTATTTTTTTTTATTTCAGGGCTTTAATTGTAAAACCAGTTAAGACCAATAATTCTAAGCTTTAAAAGATGACATTCCGAGGGACCGAGCAATATTGAAGATCCAAGTCTAATTATAATTAGAAAATAGTCCAAAATAAGCCACAAGTTGATGAGAATGGAAAGAAAAAGAAAAGGAAAAATCCTTCTCCAAAAAGGAAACTTTCGCCGAAGTTGGTAACTTGAACCCGTTTTGGTAATTTGGCTGTATCTCTCTCCTCGAGCATCAAAACAACTAAATTGTCACGTGAGTTGAAAGGAAATTCGAAAAGCGATAATTTTGTATTTCATGAGCTTTCCCTAAAACAGTTATTTACCTTGTCAAATTAGCCTGGAAGTTTGTACTAATTTTGGAGTCCTTATTTGACAGAATTTCTATGTATGTCTCCTATGTGAAAAAGGGAACTTTAGGCCTGATCTTTTATTATTTAAAGGGAGTCCTCTACAACATTGAGGGATATACAGAGGAGCTTGAGGCTGAGATCAGAGAGGAGCATTCAGAAGAAAGAAGAGATCGATCCATAGCGGTGAAGATGTCTTCCTCAACCATGAAGAATTCCACTCCAGTCATGCTTGGCTAAACACTTTGTTAGGGTTGTAATGTAACCCTAGCTTAGCATACTTGTTTGATTGTATTTAATTATTGGAGAAACAATTTTTATCATGCATGATTGTGTAATCTATAGGGTTTTTAATTGAATTTTCAATAAGAATTGGTTTTAGAGTTTTAATTCAATTACAAATATTTTCTATCTTGTCTTAGATATTTGAATCTTGTGATTGAACACAACTCATTCACTTCTTGTAGTTGTGAATGGGATGATTACACAATGGTGTTTCTCTGAATATAATGTTAGAGATTTGATGGATTATGCCTAGAAAAGATAAACCATGCTATACCCTAGAGTAAAGTAGTTAGGTAGATGGTTTATACCAATCGAAGATAGTTCATGCTTAGCTTTAAATTATATTATTTTCTAGCTGAATTAATATGTGCTTGTAGCCATAATTAATTCTCTATGCATGTTATTTGATATATCTCCAATAAATTGATACAATTAACTGGTGGTGCGACGTTAGTGGTGAAATCATACCCCTAGTCCTCTCTCTCTCTATTTTCTACTTCTTGTTTAATCATTGTCTTTAGTTTATTTTATTTTTATACTTAGTTAATTTGGAATAAATCATCACAATTCGATTGTCCTACGTTCAAGTTAATTTAGAATTTAAGAAATCTGTTGACAAACTTATTTTACACAAGTCCCTTGGGTACGACACCCTTTCAAGTAAACCCTATCTGCAAATATTCGTGTACTTGCGAGTGGTACTTATAAATCTCACAACATTTTGTATAATTTTATATGCACATACCTATATACATATATGTTTAGGTTATTTAATCAATTTAATTTAATTCCAACTCAATGGTTTATCCAAATAATAAAATTGGAATTAGAATTCAATTGCACTTGATCAAATTCCAAAGTTTATCCAAACAGTGTATTTGGAATTGAATTCATGAAATTGCAAAATCATGAAATTATAATTCCAATACAATCCTACTGGCAAAAAATTCAAGCATATTGATATAGTGTTTCTTTCTTTCGTGTGATTAAATAAACTAAAATAGACCCTAGATTTTGCTTATGGTTTTCTTTTATGTGTGTTGGTTCACAAAGTCTGCGCCATTATCTTTAACTTCCTTGGAACTATTTGTTGTTAATTATAATCTATCATCTACTGAATGTGATCGTTATCTTATACATTATGTGCGATTTAACTAGATGTGTCTCAACTGATTTTTTTGAGGTTCATATACTAGCTTCGTTTGGTTAAATAGAATTAATGAGAAAGAAAGGAAATAGAAAATTTTGAAACTTTTTAAGAATTTGGTTAGATAGAAAAAGAAATGTTCTGAAAAATTAAAATTCTCGTAACTTTTATTTTCCTCAAAACGTTTATAACATAAAACAAGTTTTTACTTGATTTTAAAGAATTACAGTTCAACAACTTTATCTTATTATATTTTTTTTATTATGTTTCAAAGAATTACAGTCCAACAACAATTTTATCATTGATAGAATTTTAATTGATTTGACTTTCATTTTTTATTGCTTTCCATCATAGTAGTTTACAAAGGTATAAATTAATTAAAAATTCCATCAATTTTTTATATACCTACTACTAATTATTTTATCATTTTTTATAAAATTTTGATATCTAAACTATAACATGATATTTTCCTATAATTTTCTTGAATAAATTTTCATTGTAACTAAATACATACTAAAAAATCAATTCTCTTTTCATTCACTTCACATTTCTTTTTTTACTATTTTCATCTATCCAAACGGAGACTAGATATTCTAGATATTTTAAATTCTGTCATATTGTAAGACTAAAAATTATTCCTAAACACTTCCACTACCTTTTGGCAAAAGAGTTATTTACTTATAATTCAAGCACTCTCAAATGTTCTACTCACTTATCCCACACTAAGACATTGATCACCTTTTGACAAAACAAATGCCCTCATGTAGGTAAATGCACTGTGATACCTCAATAAGGTAATGTCTTAAAATTTTAAAACTAAAAATAACCTCTGTGAGCGTGTCACCTTTTGGTAAGCATCACCCATGTACTTTGGCTACCACATTTAAAACGGTCACTTTATCGGTCTTCCTAAACCCCAAGGAAGAACCTAAACTACAGAAGTTCCATTTATTTAAGTTCAACAATCTCTTTATAATGCACATAAACTAAACCCAAATATTATGGAACACATGATTTCACTATAATATAAATGGCTATAACACAAAAAAATAAATAAATAAAATAAAATAAAATTAGACCTCCTCATAGATATTAAGAAATTAGAGTGAACAATGTAATAACATGCACTTCAATTAAGATTTTAAAAAGAATCTCAATTCTTTTTATGCTTTAATTAAAAGAAAATTATATATACTTGATTCATGTATATTATATATTCAGTAAACAATTTAAAGTACTTGAATCTTTAAATCAATCATGTCAATACTATTGCTTATGGCACGCAAGCCCCATAGGTTTTCCAACCTAAAAATAAACAATTGAAGACTTGAATCCAAACATGATAGAACAACATATGAACATGGACCAGTATCACTCAGCTAAGAATAATAAAATAAATATTCAATACCATCCAAGTACATAACATTATTTGAAGCATGTAAACGAATTACACGTATTAAATATCCACTGCTCACAATTTAATCACAAATACCTTACTGGTTGAAGAAAAGAATTTCAAAGCTTCATTAATATCATGACTGAATTTATAATTGGAAATTCCAATAACCAGTAAATATTTTGAACTTTTATTACATATAGGAATTGTGACCTCTAAAATTCCTCATGAAAATAAATTATTCAATTCATGCTACATGTTTAAAACTTTAAAAAATAAATCCGACATGCACTATTTTTGTATATAATTAATGGGTCAATTTATAAAGAAATGCATGCCTGTGTACATGATGCAACTTTAGATGTATCAATAGATAAAAATCTACAAGCTACATTTTTAAGTTTTATTGGAGCACATATTTTCATCAATCATGTTTAATGATGTTGTGCATAAAATTTTTTTAAGAGTGAACAATCTTATACTAATCCAATAACAATTCTTACCAGAGCATTACGCCAAATAGAATAATAGTTTAAAAAAAAAAATCTTATATATATATATACATCATATCAGTATATCCAAGTGTATATAATTCAATTAAAAAAATGTATATATAATTCAAAAGTAACCCAAAATTTTTGAATTTTACCATTGAAATTAATATAATAAAATAACAAACTTCAATGGAATTCCCAATTATAAAATACTTATATATATATATATATATATATATATATATATATATATATATATATTATGCATGTAACTCAGTGTGCACAATATAAAACCTGGCTTTATAAAGCATTCAAGTTTTCACAATTAAATCCACTGACTTTTTCTTCCACGTAGGTCGGGCATACTACTCCGTAATTTATAAAGGAATTCTCGTTCCGCGTGCCCAATTTATAAAGGTACCAATTTGTGATACATTGCATATATAACAAACTGGTTCATGCTTTAAAAAAATATATTATCGTTGGCATGGAGTATATGTATATAAAATTTGTACTGTGTAAGCCCATGCACCATAAATCAGAAATGAGCTGGGCACACGAATTTAAAAAAAAAAAAAAAAAGATTGTGATCGGTGAGCAACACAATAAAACTACAATATTTTTATCCTTAAATAATCATATCCGAGTGTCACTGTCTTGATCACCAATATGCAAAAGATCATTAATGTTGTATAAATAGACATTTTAAGAAACCAAAGAAGCGCGCTCAAAGTTTATTAGGTCGCAAAAACAAGAAACAAAGTTGGGTAATGGCAGACAGAAAAGTAGAGCTAGTGTTTCTCTCAGGACTTGGGATTAGTCACATCGTGCCAACTGTCCAGTTTGCACAACGGATTGTTGATCGTGACCACTGATTCTCCGCCACCATACTCAGCATCTAACTCCCTCGCGACTCACTCGTCAGTGCGTACACTCAATCACGCGCCGCCACCACCTTGGTACGTTTCTTGGACATCCCTTAGGTGGACCCAACTACAACTCACCCTTTCCAAACCCCCATAGACTACATTTTTGCGTTCATACAAAAACACATTCCCTACGTAAAACATGCAATCACCAAACTCCTATCGACTCAGTCTGAGTCCGACTTGCTCATACTCGTCATTGACACATTCTGTACTCCGATGATCGACGTCGCTAACGAGCTCGGCATCCCTTACTACCTCTTCTTCCCGTCGTCGGCTTCTTACCTCGGCTTATTGCTCCACCTCCCGACCCTTAACCAACAAATCACCACCGAGTTTTATGACTCGGGCACTGAGTTGGAGGTGCCAAGTTGTGCCAACTCAGTTCACCCACTCGTCCTACCCTCTGTTCTATTGAGTAGAACTTAAGATGGGTACTCTTGGTACTTCTATCATGGGCGAAGGTATAAGGAGACAAAGGGTATTATTCTTAATACATTTCAAGAACTCGAACCATGGGCTCTTAACTCATTTTTGGGTACTGACGTACCACCAGTTTACTCGGTTGGACCGTTGGTTGACAACTATGGGTTGAACCGACTAGATTCAGACCGGGCCCAAGAAGACAAGGTTTTGAACTGGCTTGATCATCAACCGCAGTCATCGGTGGTTTTCTTCTATTTTGGAAGCTTGGGTGGTATAAGAGGGGCCCAACTGAGGGAGATAGCAACCGGTCTAGAGCGAACCGAGCAAAGGTTTTTGTTATCACTGCGCCAACCGGAGGCTTTCGAGTCACGTGACTACACTGATCTAGATGAGGTGTTGCCGAATGGGTTTTTGGAAAGAACCGCTGAAACTGGTTTAATTTGTTGGTGGGTCCCACACATGGCAATCCTGGCCCACAAGGCAATCGGAGGGCTAGTTTCTTACTATGGGTGGAACTCGTTTATAGAGAGCTTATGGTACGGTGTACCTATTGCCACATGGCCGATTTTTGGACAATAAAAGGTGATAGCATGGGAGCTGGTGAGGGAGCTGGGTTTGGAGGTGGAGATTAGATCACCATGCTACATGGATGGACTGGACGGTGGTGGTGATTTGGTTTTGGCGGAAGAGGTGGAGAAGGGAGTGAAAGGTCTGATGGATGGTGATGGTGAGTTGAGGAGAAAGGTTAAGGAAATGAGTGAGAAAAGCAGGAAGGTTGTGATGGAAAATGGTTCATCGTTTGCTCGTATGGGAGAATTGGTTGAGGAGCTTATGAAGGCAAACATTTGATGGACTCCTAAATTTTTACTTAGTATTTTTTTTTTTTTAGGTGGTTAATTTTTTGGACCTTGGGATTTGTATTTCTGGTTTTTCTTTTATTCTTCTTTTTTCTTTTTTTTTTTTTTTGTTTTTACATTCAAAAACTAATAATAAATTTTTTATTTTTCTTATATAAATTTAATGATATCTTTTTGTCTTTTCAAAATCTTGTAAGAGTTCAACACTTAATTCAACCATTGGCAATTTATATAATATAGTATCATTAAGTACAACACTTAAATCTCTTTAAATGAAGAAAGAGAACTCCTTCAAATCTTGTGTAAAGAAAACTTAAACTGGAATGTTATTTAGTAGTATAAAATTTGAATCACAGAGTACATCGAGAAAATATTAGACACTTGACAACCATTGATCATTTAGTGGTTCAATTCAATCAAAAACTCATTATTGACATTTAATTCAACCATTGTCCATATTTGTGTTATAACTTATAGCTCAACATTTTGCAAATGTCATTAAATAAACATTTTTTTATATATAGTTGGACTTGGTGAATCCACTTTGTGACTGTTGTAAAATTAAACATAAAACATAAAACATAAAACCAAAAAAAAAAAAAAAAAAAAAGATCAAACACATATAACAACTCAACAAGAATATACATATTTTAAGGGTTACAAGAATTTCACTATGATGATCAAAACAATAGCGAATACAAAGAGTTCAGAATGAATATACACCTTCGCACTAGGGCAACATAACAAGTGCAAAAATTATCAAAATACTCCCCAAAAAATTCGATATTGGTGTACAGTATCTATTTGGCTTCATACCACCCATCAGTGACATACGGAATAATACATAATTTTTGCAAAAGAGAGAAAAGAATATAGGGGTTAAGGATGAATGAGTCTTCTATTTCTCTTCACAATGTTAACTAAGAATTTCAATGAGGCTATGTTTGGTACAATGGAAAAGAAAAGAAAGGAAATGAGAGGACATTGTTAACCATTCATTGTGTTTGGTTCATTTGTAATGAGCCGGATTTTTCTGATAAATTTTTTCCGTTGTCTTTTTCCTTCTGAGTTTGGTTTCTTGTCGATTAGTGTCATCTCGAGTGCTCTGGAGTGATTTTCGAGACTCTTTTCTTTGGATTGACAACTTCCTTTGAGGACCGAGTCATTTCCACATTTTTTGTTTTTCAATACTATTCACTTTTCGTCCTTTTCCCTATTTCGTCTTTTCCTCGTTTGGCACTTTGTTTGCGTAACCACACTTTTTGTGTTCGGAGTTAGTTTCTGACTTCACATATCTTCATTCCCAATGATTTCTATGAGATACGTATCTTTACTTTCTTGAGAAAGTAGTCTGGTTACTCCCGGTGTCCATAGGGGCATAAACGCAAATTTCTTTAGAAACCTTTTCTTTTCTTGGGGTATTTTTCATAAATATCTTTTGAAGACATTTTATTTCAGGGGTATCTAAGAAAATATCTTTTGGAATATATTTTCATTCTGAGGCAGTTTCGCAGTTTTCACTTCTTGGAGGGGTCATTGTGCAATTAATGAAAGTTATTGCTCAATGCCTTGTTTTGAACCTAGATTCTCGTACGTGATTCATTTTCACATTTCGTTGAGTCGTGGACTCTTAGAATTTCCTCCTGGACGATGTTTTCCAGTTTCAGGGTTTCTGGCCCCGGTTTGCGCCAAACTTGTTTTGGGTATAACTCTCTGCTCGAGACTCAATTTTTGACGCCGTTTCTTCCGTTGTTCATATTTTCTCATTTGGACTCTTTTTTGTTCACAGAGTTTTGCCATTTGAGCACGTATGCGTGAATTCCACTTTTTCGGACCCGGCAGGGCCCGTTCGGGGCACTTTTTGAGTTTTTCTATAAATAGAAGGTCTTAGAAAGAAAAATCAGATTTTTCTCTCTCTCTCCTCTCTCATGGCCAGTCCAAGCTCCATCCATGGCTGCCATCTTCTCTCTCCTCTTTTGGACTTCTTCCCTTCATTAAAAAGTGGTGATACCTTTGTGTTTATTGTTCCCCTCGGCGAGGCCTTCGATTCCAACCAATTGGAATCTCGTTTTAGCCATTTCTTGAGTTCAGGTTTGAAGTCAAGTTGTATTTTTGATGGGGCTTCCTTGAGATTCATGTTCGTAGTGTTGTCCCCGACAAAACTTAGGAGTTTCGACGGATTCAGAGCTGATTTATTTTGGTGGGGATTTGAGATTTCATCTCAAATGGGAGTAGGGAATGTTTTAGGCTTTTGTGTGTGTTGTATGAAGTGTTTAGCATGATTATACAACTTATATATGTACCTTGTATCAAATCTAGAAAATTGGTAATTTTTAATTCTTTGTATAAGATTTAAAATTCATGATGATATATGACTTTGATTTGAATTGTGGCATGGTAGAAAATATTGTTTTAATATGTTGGTTAACATATATTAAATTTGGATTAATTAAATAAGAATTGCTCTTTTAATTAATATTTTTCTTTTGTGAAATATTTAAGTTCATGGCCATACCTTGTATGGAATTGAGTTGTATTATGCTTCTAAATTAAGTTTTGGCATGTTTGTTAACATACTTTAATTTGAGAGCATTTGGTTGAGTTTGGAAATCTAGAGACTTTAATTAAGAGAATTAATTAAAATCTATTTTGGTGGTTTCATGGGCCTAATTAAGCTTGTGTGTGAATATATGTAATGGCCATGATATGTCTATTAACATATATTAAATTGGGGCCAATTGGAAATGATTTGAAATTTAGAGAGTTTAATTATTTTGATGTAATTAAATTCTATCTTGTGTATCCATGGATCTAATCATGTTTTAGAAGTTGTTTCTATTTTAAGAGTATGGATTTAGACTTGTGATGTATTCACTAGATTGTGTTATATGCATTGAAGAGCATTGTTGTTAAGTTTATATTCATAAGAGTATGTTTCTAATATGAATATACTATTGGCTTGTGATTTCGTAGCATTATGGATATGAAATGCTTATTATGCACAATTGAGAGTTATTTTGCTAACTTGTTACTATGTAATAGTAATATGTATAAGTTATGAACTTATTTGGCTTATTTTGGAATCTTGGAACATTGTTGAGTTAAGATGGCTAGGGTTTGGCTCTAGTACGGGGACATGAGTTCTCTAAGTCATTGAGATAATGCGCACTTAGGGTGGTCTTCCCTGCAGGTTAATGCCCGGAATAACCATTGAGGTCTCGGCAGAATTCCGAGCGTGATGTCCAAGTATTCCACTGTTTGTTTTCGCATTCAATTCCAAGTTGACAATCATGTTTACCTTGTTAACTTGTGATTTTGGCTATTGGCGATTTTGATGTTGTTAAGTACATCCATTCTAAATTGATATATTTAGTTGATTTCACACTTTTAGATTTCTAGTTGATAACCTAGAGAATCTATGTTTTGATGTGTGGTATTAGATATTCTAATTATGCTAAATTGTTTTATTCAGTTGATGTTGCATTTTAGACTTCAAGTTGATAACCTTGAGAATCTATATGTTATTGCTTTGTGTAAGCATGCTCCTATGTTGTTGCTTTGTGTAAGCATGAACCTATGTTACTAAAATTGCATGAATGAGGTGATTGATGCTAGAAATGATCTTAGGTAGCTAGGATGCTCCTCGAGTCTCACCTTTGACATAGACGTTAGGTGGAATGAACCACAATGATTAAATCATGCAACTTGTAAAACGTAGGTCGATGCATGCTCATTTCCTACGAGTAACTTTATATTACTCACCCCTACGATACTGGGGCATATTTCAGGTGCAAGAATCAAAGTTGAGGTCTTTATTATGCTTGGATGGTTTGTGGACTTGGAGACTTCCACTTTTGTGAAGGTTGGCTTGGAATGCCAATTGTAGTCTTATATGTCAACATGTGTACATTTGATTCCTTATATGTAATGTGTACATGAGTACACTCTTTACGATGTATTTGACATGTATGAGATGAGGCCGGAGGCCAATGACATGTAAATTGTATCCTATGTAAATTTTGACTTCATGGAATATTATGAAAGTATTGTAAAATATTGAGTTTTTGATTCACCATGTTTGCATTGGGTGTGAGAATTCTATTTTGATTCTTCCATTAGCATTCACACCATGTATGAAGTGTGGCCAAGTGCCAAGTGGCATTTTGAAACCATTTCATAGTTTTGAATTCCAAGTTTTCGTTCCAAACTTCATTTTTGGCATTTTGGCCGTTGGGGGGTCATATTTTGCATCGTCCATATTTTTGGGCCATGGACCATTGTATCACATCTTACTAGGTAAGTTACGTTTGCGTGCATGGTCGTTTCCGGACAAAGCTTCTTCTTTGGTTAAATGAGCCTCCTACGGACTCATTTTACACTTTTGTTGCATTTTCTGACCTAAGGGTATTTTGGGAATTTACTTTGGGACATAAATTCCGTTATTCATATGATTGAATAGAAAATATGATTTTAGGGGGGGTTTCTTTTTTGTGTTTTTCTAGAAAATTCCATCTTGGCATCGGAAATCGCATCCAAAGTTCAGCTCTCAGTTTTTAAATTTAGCAGCTTTTTGGACCCTCTGGACCAGTTTTCTTGGTATGGCATTTTGGGCATTTCACATTGTGTATTTTTCAATTTTTCTTGTGGTTCACATAGAAAACTCGATTTTGAGGGGGGTTTCTTCTTTGAGTTTTTCCAGAAAATGTCATCTTGGCCCTCAAA